GAGTGAGGGAGTGAGGGAGTGAGGGAGTCAGAGAGTGAGAGAGAGAGTGAGAGAGAGTGAGTGAGTGAGTGAGTGAGTGAGTGAGTGAGTGAGAGTGAGAGAGAGAGAGTGAGAGAGTGTGAGTGTGAGTGTGTGAGAGAGTGAGTGAGTGAGTGAGAGAGTGAGAGAGTGAGAGAGTGAGTGAGGCAGTGAGACAGTGAGAGCAAAACTCACTCTTATAAAAAGAGCACAAGTCATACATTATTGTGTAGTTGTAGCATGTGAAAAACTGAATAGATTAACCAGAGGACAAGGGATGGGAAAGTAGAATTGGAAATTGCGGAAGCGAACAGTCTAAGTTCAGGGCTGTTTTTATCGGATTTCGTAGGAGACCTAGATGTTTTTAGGACCAGATGTTTTTAGGACCAGATGTGGCAGCCTGGCTTCTTAAACGTGAGGATTTTGCCAGTTGACTATTTTTCCCAGGGCTTCTGGATCCAAAAACATCCTTTAGCAGCTGGTGTCCTACAGCACACTCTCTGATTCTGCTGAACACATGCTAACATTCCCCCAAATAGGTTGTCACGCACATTACATGGACTATACAAAACAACAACAACAAAACCGACTCACTTCCTCCCAGTAGATTTCAGCTGATAGAACAACCCTGTTTCCTTATCTTTGCTGGTGAGGAGAGTACAGTGTTCTTCAACTGCAGCACGAAGAAGGGATGTGTGCAAGCCACCATCCCTGCCCTGGTCCCAGAGTGAAACCACTGGCTGTGGGGACGGGTGCCCACTCCTGATGATGAGTTGGCTCAGTCTCTCCTCTGTGTGAGCAAACCGCTGTTGCATCCAGTGCCTGTGTGTAAGCTGTGCTTTTGCTGGTGACCTCAGACATTGGTTTAAAAGAAATATGCTGTTGGGATGACCTTACACTACAAAAGAAGGGAAAAATACAACTGGAATTAATAGTACAGTTATTTTTAGGAAGCTGTCTTTTAAATTGAAACACAAACAGTAAACATATATATATGAAATGAAAACCATTAACAGGTTAAGAAAGATATTATAAATAATATCATAAATTATGCCACAGAAAAATATAGCATATTTAAAATAAAAACCAAAAGGTAATTCTATGAAGACCAGGATAATAAAAAAAATAGAGCAATTCCTGATATTATTAAAAATGATAAAACAAAACACAGATTACACAGAAAACAAACTAACAGATATAAACACCAAAAATGAGATACAAATTAAGAAATTCAATAGTCATAATCCACAAAAAACAAATGAATTCTGAGCCATAGTAACCCTCTAGGACAAAGTACAACTGCTCCTAAGAGATTGAGACAATGTAAATCTTTTTTGTTTGAAAAATTGGCAAATTTTATTATGAAATATGTACTAGATAATTTATCAGTTAGATTTCCTTTTTTCATGTGTAACATAATTGCATAAAAGTAATATTTAAAGTATTCAAAATAAAATATTTTAAAACATTTGTTCAAGAAGTAAGGTCCCTTAACAGCTTTTTAAGATTTTATTAGGACCTAATCCATTCATCATACCATTCTATAGTTCAGTCATGTCAAGCAGTGTTGTACAATCACTATCACAATCAATTTCAAAATATTGACTGCCTTCTTGAACTCCTTTATATCAATTCCCCTTTATTCCCCACCTACCATACCACAGACCCAGGAACCCTTATTCTAGTTATTGTCTCTGTAGACTCACCCATTCTGGGTTTCATAAATCAAACAACAGACATAACAAGGAGTCAAAAAGGCTACCAACAATAACAAAATAAAACAGAAACCCCTATATGAAAAAAAAACACAGAAAATATTGAAAACCGGACAAGCACAAAGTGTATCGAAAGGGAGATCAAATGATAAGTTTTTAACCATTCAAGTCAGATTTATCATTTTAATCTTCTATAGACGTCTCCCCAATACTCCGTCTGATCACCAGGTTATTCTCATTTCCTCAATTATGGTTAGAGGGAAATCACAGGAGTCTTATTCCCTTTGGAGCTCCTGAAAGTGGATTTTGAGCTTCCACTGTCGCCCACAGCCTTCTGCACACCAGAATGTCACAATGCAAGCTCCAATACTTTCCCCTCCATTGGATTTGGATGATATGATTGACAATACTTGTAAATCTTTTTAGAGCCTCATCTTTCTCCCTTGGACTGGCTAGGGGTTTTCAATTACTGACCTTGCCCTCAGCATCCCAAATGTGAAATCCACTGCACTACCAGGGAGAGTGGATTTTTACATAATCTTTATTTGTATATATCACTTATTACTTATTTATTACACTTTCCCCCCTGGTTGTTTAATAGCCATACAATTGAAAATTAATTAGGAATGGTATATTTATGGAATTTTAAATGTTAGATAATTTTAAGTTTCTGAATTTTAAAAAATGATGTAATATATATTTTTAGGTAATTGCACTTGGCTGACCAAAATTAAATTCAATTTTCTGCACCTCACCTCATCAGACATGTTAGGTGCTTTTGAGTCAGTCTTGCTCACAATGGCTATGTGTACAACAGAACAAATACACAAACTACCAAGTCTTGAACTGTAGTATTAAATAAAATAAATAAGTTGATGCTGAGGGAGGATGAGGGGACCAGCCCCCACCCGCTGCTTGAACTCACTGGTTCAGTAATACTACTTCTGGGTTCAGTAATGCACAATTGTACGGTTGAGATATATAAGCATTATATTAAAGT